AGACACAAACGAATGACGTAGCATGAAATGAGATGATAGATGAACGACAATGAGTGCCTCGCCAGCTGCCCACGACGGGGCCCAGGCGCAGGCAAAGCAGGTACGTTTTCCCAGGGTATAGGGGAGAGCTTCGTTGGACGGAGCTCTCCTGCACCCCCTCCGTCCCCCTGCAAATATAACAATTCTCGCTGAAAACATCATGCACAAAAAACATGTGGAGCAAAGTTTGACGCATGTACAGGAGAATGATAACAAACATAAATATAATAACAGAACGCAACGTAATAAATGCTAAGATCGTATCATACTAGCCACGTATTCCAAACCGGCAGAGAGAAGGACTCCCAAAATGTTCGCAATATTTTGCGAGATAGGGGGGCCTGGGGAGACTCCCAAAATATTCGCAATATTTAGAACCTCTAGCTTTTGGAAGGAGCTCTAAATATTTGCAAGATTTAGATTAGAAAAGAGAAACAGAACACCCTTTAATTTAGTAAAATATAATCCCATTAAATAACCCCAACAGCGGAGTGGCTGTCGTCGGGCTCACATGAACGGATGACAGAAAAGCTCAAAGAGCTGTAGATGCAGGCATTGAACAAAAGATTCTGATTCGCTTAAGATAAGCGCAAGCAGTAGGATATTCGGGTTTAGCGATGGCATGGAGGTTGAGCACTGCTGCAACGCAGGCCAAATGCGTTTAGCAAGCCTCGGGAAATGCATTTGGGCTCGGTCTGAAGCTTCGGAGCTGAATTACAGCCCGGGACTGGGAGCAGGAGGGGCATTAGCAAGGCTGAGAAAGCTGCAAAATGCGCTTTTGAAGGCTTGGACAATGCATTTGGGGCTGTTGGAGACCAAAATAAAGCGTGCGCAACAGGATTTTCGGGTTTAGCGACGGCATGGAGGTTTAGCACTGCTGCAACGCAGGCCAAACGCATTTACCAGGCCTCGGGAAATGCATTTGGGATCGGTCTGAAGCTTGCGGAGCTGAATTATAGCCCAGATCTAGGACCAGGAGACGCATCAGCAAGGATAAGAAAGCTGCAAAATACGCTTTTGAAGGCTTGGACAATACATTTGGACTGTTGGAGACCAAAGCAGAGCGTGCGCACCAGGATTTTCGGGTTTAGCGACGGCATGGAGGTTTAATACTGCTGTAACGCAGGCCAAATGCGTTTAGCAGGCATCGGGAAATGCATTTGGGCTCGCTTTGAAGCTTCCGGCGCTGAATTACAGCCCGGGACTGGGACCAGGAAGGGCATTAGCAAGGCTAAGAAAGCTGTAAATAGCGTTTTTCAAGGCTTGGACAATGCATTTGGGGCCGTTGGATACCAAAGTAAAGCGTGTGCAGCAGGATTTTCGAGGATTTTCGGGTTTAGCGACGGCATGGAGGTTGAGCACTGCTGCAACGCAGGCCAAATGCGTTTAGCAAGCCTCGGGAAATACATTTGGGCTCGGTCTGAAGCTTCGGAGCTGAATCATAGCCCGGGACTGGGAATGCATTTGGGGCTGCTGGAGACCAAAGTAAAGCGTGCGCACCAGGATTTTCGGATTTAGCGACGGCATGGAGGTTGAGCACTACTGCAACGCAGGCCAAATGCGTTTAGCAGGTATCGGGAAATATATTTGGGCTCGCTTTGAAGCTTCCGGCGCTGAATTACAGCCCGGGACTAGGACTAGGAAGAGCATTAGCAAGACTAAGAAAGCTGTAAAAAGCGTTTTTCAAGGCTTGGACAATGCATTTGGGGCCGTTGGATACCAAAGTAAAGCGTGTGCAGCAGGATTTTCGTTTTCGGATTTAGCGACGGCATGGAGGTTGAGCACTATTAAAACGCAAACCAAATGCGTTTAGCATCGGGAAATATATTTGGGCTCGGTCTGAAACTTCGGAACTAAATTACAATCCGGGACTAAGCAAGGCTAAGAAAATTATAAAATATAGTTTTGAAAGCTTGGACAATACATTTAGGATCGTTAGATACCAAAGAGAAACGTATGCAATAGGATTTTCGACATTAGCGACGACATAGAAGTTTAACACTACTCTAATGCAGGCGATTAGTAAGCATCGGAAAATATTTTTAGATTCGCTTTGAAGTTTCCGACGCTTGAATTACAGCCCGAGACTAGGACCGGGAAAGATATTAACAAGACCCCGAAACCTACCTCGTAATATCCTCAGAACCTCTTTCAGAATCTCGCCGGAACCTACCCCGGAATATACCCCATATCAGAACCAGAACCTTCTTCAAAACCACACCAAAACCTACCGGCAGCCTCCCCGGAACCTGATACCACCTAATTGCCCCCCGGCACTTATCCCAGACCTCACTCCAATCTACCCCAAATCTTATTTCGAGTACAGACCCCTGAACTTACGCTATTAGAGAAATACGTGATTTATTTAATGCGCGATCGAAATTATTCTTCTCGTACGAGAAATGAGCATATATCTACATTAATTATCGTGATATTCCATACCTACAATATATGTAAATAATACGTGTATAAAATACGCACACACACACACAAGACACACAAGACACACAACACACACAACACACACGACACACACAAAACACACGACACACACAACACACACACACACACACAACACACACACAATACACAAACCACACACACACGACACAGACCACACAAACAACACAAAACCCCTACACACACAATACACACAACACAAAACACACGCACACACAACACAACCACGCAACACATACACACAACACACACACACACAACACACACACACAACACACACACACACACTTGACACATCGTGTCGCAGGTCTGATCAGTCAGTGCATATTGCCGGAAGCTGTCAGGGGAAGTCAGAACATGCAATCAGAAGTACTACCATAAGACAAACGCGAATCACTCATGTGACTGCACATGATACTGCACATGAAACTGCACTACACTCTTACTCGCAATCAACAGTTGTGTGGTCACAAGCTGCACAAATGTGCCCATGCCGACCACTGCAGGTACGTTTACCTGTCTCAATATCACGGAGCTTCATTGGCAGAGGCCGTGAAATGAGACCCTCTGCCCCCTGCTGCTTAACTCACTCACGTCTCTTGGAAACAGAGTTGGACACACACAAGCCTCGAGGGGCTCCGTGCAATGTTGATGGTCGTTGCGCGCTGTTTTTCTCACCGATTTTTCATCGAAACGTCTTGTCCTTAGGAGACCTAGGAGAGTGGGCTACGAAACTTCAGAAAACGCAGTCTATACACTAAGTGCAATTCAACTTCGGCTTCTTCTGCATCAGAATCGAAGTACATGCAACACTGAGTTGCAGTTTTGTACGCAGCATTGGCCAATGACACGATACTCACTCGCAAACGCTCCTGTGCTAGGTCTACCACAGCACGCATCCACCTCTTGGAAGGGCTGCCCAACATGGTGCAGGCCACGTCATTGATTTGAACAAAACGGATGGTGGTATGCAAAGACTGAAAACCCAAGGTCAACTCAACCGAGGAGGACAGCCAAAATTCTTGTATCACACGTTGCAAGAACGCGTACGCCACCATGGTGTCGGTTATGGGTTGTGCCTCTTCCGGGTCGTCATTTCGATCGAGGCGAGTAATGAATACGATTCTGGCTCTGATCGGCAACAAGTACGTCAAGATGTTCTCGAGCACGTCCGAAGCGGCCCAATCCATGTTGTTCAGAATCTACAAAACTTCCAGACTGCTTGATACAAAACTCTATTACATGTCTGATGAAAGCAACTCCCAAAAGCGCAGCACTTGCACATCCCTGACATGTCTCTCTGCACATATCCTGCACAGCACTTGCACGTACCTCGCACGTCCCTTCCACATCACTTGTAATCCGCTTGCACATCCCTTGCTCATCACTTCTCTTGACACGAAGCAGTGGTGGACTCTTTTTAAACCGTCACAACGAAATCGACCGGTTCAAGGGTTTGGGCAGTCGTTACAGGTTCTGTAAACCGAAGATGGCGAAGGTTTTGTACAAGTTGAAACGTGTGTAGCCTAGGCCACCAGCCAAACTTCTCCCAGAGCTGCATCGCGACGAGGTATTTGGCAACGTTGATGGAATCGTTGATTGAGAGCTGGATGTGGAGAGTGATAGTCTCGTGTCCAGTTGCTCGACTGCATACACGAACCCACATCCGAAAGATGTAGTCACGGCTCATACTCCAAGGCAGATGGGCTTCTCGGGCCTTCCGCTTCATGTTAGGCAACCTACAAGGTTTCACTGGATGCCAAATGCTGCAACTCAAGACGATTCATGCAGGAGACTGATAATGCACAGCACAGCAGACGCACACTCCTCAGGCTCCTTCAACTGTCTTTGTCCGCTCTCTCACTTTCGGTCTAAGACGTACTGCACAAGTTTCAAAGTAGACGGAAAACGCTTCCTAGGGCCTTGCTTTTCTTTAGCAATGCGTTCTCCATGTTGTCTCAAGAAATCGAGAATGAATTGGGCTCTGTTGTGGATGAAGAAGTCGTCACCAAGCACTCTCGTGCCTTCCATTCTGCGGCGAAATTGGGGTTTCACTCTACACTCACACTGCACAGCTCTCGGCACGCGTGCAAACCCTTCTTTTGCGCGCAGTGCACTTGAAAGGTGCTTTGCCCCGAATTGGGGCTCAGGGGGATGGGTGGGCGGGCTACCTAAAAAACTAAGCTACCTTGAGCCTAAACGTGCGGTGAGACAGAGGTGAAACCCTACGCACACTACGCTGTACTAACCGAGTTTCACTCTACACTCACACTGCACAGCTCTCGGCACGCGTGCAAACCCTTCTTTTGCGCGCAGTGCACTTGAAAGGTGCTTTGCCCCGAATTGGGGCTCACCCCCCTCCATACCAACGGAGCCGGGACCGAAGCGGTCCTCGGCTCAAAGCCTCAGAAGGAGAGAGGGAAGCGTAGGTTTCCCTTTGCCCAAATATCAGAAAGGTCCTCGTTGAGATGCCCGGGACCGAAACGGTCCTCGGGTTCTCTTCAAGGGGGTATGAGGTCCACCTCGGCCATTGCCTTGGCTACCCCTTTGGACGACGCACGGGCATCCCAAATATAGCCGTGATACACGTCACTCGCCCACCGCCCGAAACGCTGCAACTGGGCCGAGTTTTGATAAGCCGCCCAGATGGCGGACGCGCCGCCAAATCTCAGGGAATGAGCTCCTGTCGCTCCCTGCATGCCTTGGTGTTCTGCTGCCTTAGCGATGAGCATCTGGAGGCATTCGCGGGTGACTCCTCTAAGGAGAGGCTCACCGGATTCTTCTCCATTGCCATGGCGTGCTGGGAAGGTCGAGAAGAAGCGGATCGCTGCATCCACGGGACACAGTGGTGGGACTCCTCGAAAATGATTTCGAGTAGTCCCACGATTGAACTTGTCCGTCTTACTCCCCCGAAGGGTGATCACGACCTCGTCCGCAGAGTGAAGATCCTTTAGATCGCACTCCTGTCCACCCTTCCTCAGTCTCAAATCTGTACCCTTAAGGTGTCTGGAGTCAGGAAGGTAAGGGACAGGGAGGAACTCGGAGGCCCTCAGGAGGAAGAAGTAACCCAGGCACAGCGCGAGCCAAAGACCGGGTGCTTCGTGCGGGGCATTTTCCCAAAGTTGGGTGAAGAGGTACGCAAGCATCGTGGGAGTCACCGGTAGCCTCCGAGTTGGCGTTGCATACCTCTTCTTGAACCCCGCGAGGACAAGAAGCAGTCGCGGTTTCCCCTCCAGTGGGTCTTTAAGCCCGAGGGAGACGTGAGCCGATTTGATGGCCGCCAGCCTCATTTTAAGGGTTCCTGGTGCTCTCGCCCCGTTGATGGCCGTGTGGAGGAGGAAGTCCAGCAGGTGAGTCTCCTCCTCGCTGGGCTCGCTGCCGCTGAGCAACCAGGGGATGCCTCTGCGGAGGCAAAAGAGGCGCCACCACTTTAACTGCCCTTGGTAGGCCTTCTGTGTGGTGGTGGTAAGGCGGTCCATGGCGACTCGGAGAGCTTCTGCCTCAAAGGCCTCACGCGTGGCCAAAGGTAGAGCCAGCTGGGGAGGCTTGGAGCCGTACAGCCTTTTCGCGGAAGAGGGCCCTCCGAGGAAAGGTGGTTCCTTCTTGTTCTTGACCGGACCGGCCAGTTCCTCGTAGGAGGGTTCTTCTTCCATCTTTTGGAAGGTGACCCTGCGCTGCGCCTTAGCCCCACATCGAGCCTCATCCTCACGCTCATTTTCGCACTGAGTAAGGAGAGGTCCGGGAATGAAACATTCCTCGGACCCTCCTTGCTCCGGTGCTTTATGAGTGACTCCCGGGAAGCCCGGCTGCCCCCAAAGGCAGCTTCCCAGGAGTCCCAGGAGGAAGAAGGTCACGCCTATGAGCATGAGATGCGCATAGGCGTGATTAGTGTCTCGAGTGGCATTATCGTGGTTGCGAGGCCCGAGGTCGGCCAGGTACCCCCAGCGCGCCTCGGGTCCACAATCGCGACATGGTTGCGCCGCTTTGTGAAGCGGTCGAACCAAGTTGCAGCTTGGAGCGTGAAACACTGCTTCATCGCGAAGGAACTTCACTTCCACCTTGCCCCCATATGGTTTCCTCCTATCCCGGGCTTCCGGGACGGGGATGAACGTCGTAGGGGCACACGCCGGACAGGGGTGGAGAACATAGGTCTCATGCCCGGAAACGTGTGGGCAAGAGGGCCTATGGTACGAGGTTCCGCGCGGTGTGCAGCAGATCGTCGTGTTTCCGATCCTCCTCCTGGCCAGCTGCCCCATAACTCCCGCCTGTGGTGGCGGGGGCGGGGTTCTACCGGCGGCATGGGAGGTGCCTTTGCGGTGCCGCTCGCTTGGCTAGACGAGGCGGCTTGGTATGCTACCATCCTGAGGGGAGGTGGCGGAGCCTTAGGAGAGAAGGCTGCCTCTTGCCTTGGTGTGCGCGGGGCATTGTTACTGTTGTCCATACGCTCGCGCCTCCGACAGCAACCTCTGGCGCGACGCCAGCAGAACTGGGCCCAAAGGCAGGCCACGACGCCCAGAAGGAAGCCCTCGAAGAGGCCCGTCTCCCAGAGGTAGGCCTCGGCTCTTCCGCTTTCTCCTAGCCCCGCCACGCCTCGCGCGCTTCCCCCCATAAAAGGAGTAAGAGCTCCCCCCTCCGAGCGTCCGGGGCCGAAACGGCCCTCGGACCTCGGGAGTGTCTGCTCTGAGTTCCTCGTCCGGTCCCGGGCATGCGCGATTGCGTGGTTGGTGTCTCGATCCGCATCATCGTTGCGGGCCTTCTCGCGGAGCCTCTCCTTTCGTTGCTTCTTTTTGAGCTTTCGCCGGCGAGTGGAGTCCGGGGGACGCTTCGCCTGGCGCGTGCCTTCCTGCGCAAGAAGGGCACGAAACTCCCGCAACTCAAGGCGAGCTGCCTCCTTCATTCTCTCATCCAGCGCTTCGCCTGTCGGCGTGGGTTCTGCCCCTGGCGGGCGCTCCGCCCTCTCCCTGGCCGCCTCCGCCTCGATGCGGGCCCTGTGTTCTTGAGCGCGGAGTCTCCCCTTTTCCTGCTTTCGCGCGACCCAGATGGGAGTGCCGGCTTTGATAGCTGCCGTGAGGCGATCGGAGCTGAGGGGTTTTGAGGCGAGAGAAGGTCTGACAGGGTTCTGTCTTTCCAACTCTCGCATCGCCTCGCCCTGACTGTCGAGCTCCTTGAGGTATGCGGCATCCGACGTCTCCAAGGCTTTAAGGTTACGCACCTTTTCTTCCAAGAGTCCTTTGACTTCTCGAGAGGCGTCCCCACGCTGGGTCGCTAAGCGTTCCAGGTCAAGGAGAAGCTGCGCCTTGGTGCCTCCCTCTCCAGCTGCCTCCTTGAGGGCCGCAGACAACGACTTCCAGTTCCGTGTGTCCGCGTCTGAGATCGCCCTGAGCAGGCCGACCTTGGGAGCAGTAAGTCGGATGCCCGTCCGTGGCACAAGGGGCCGACTCGCAGACGAGCTTTCTGAAGGGAGGCCACCTCCTGCTTCAAGCAGGAGGATCCTTTCCTCCTCGTCGAGCGCTGCCATTTGTTCCTCGAAGGACGGTGCCCGCTCGCTGGGCGCACCCGAGCTATCCGGAGGGACGGCTTCGGGGGCACCGGGACCGAAACGGTCCTCGGTGCCCCTTTCGGCTTCTCCTTGACGCTCCTGGTTGCCCGTCGCTGACGGTGCCCGATCGCTGGGCGCACCCGAGCCACCCGGAGGGACGGCTTCGGGGGCACCGGGACCGAAACGGTCCTCGGTGCCCCTTTCGGCTTCTCCTTGACGCTCCTGGTTGCCCGTCGCTGGCAGGCTCTCTGTTGATCCGCGCGCAGATCCGGCCCTTGGCGGGGCTGCGCCTAGCCCCCCCTCCCCCAAACCTGTGGGGAAGGGGGGTTTGGCTCTTCCAACCACTGCCTGAGCCTGCGCGGTCGATCTCGGTTCCTCGGCGGTCCGGCTGGTTCGGGGACGCTAGGGCTCCTGGGCCGTGCCTGAGTGTCGCGGGGAGGATGGATCCCTGGAGGGGGGGCCTGAGACCGCGAAGGTTCTCGACCTCGTTCCTCGGTTTCCGGCTCTGGAGGAACCTGAATGGGATGGACCCCTGGAGGAGGGGCCTTGACCCTTAGAGGGCTCCGGCCCCGCTCTTCGGGCTCCAGTGGGGGTTCACTCCTTGGAGCGTCAGGAGGACCAAAAGCAGGGGGAGCTTTGGACCTCGCTGGAGGAAGGGAGTGAGGGATCCCGTGGGACGCTCCCTTCCCTACGGCAGCTCCTTCGGTGCGTGCTTCTGCGGCTGGGGCTGGGGTCGAGGACTGAGCAGCAGGAGGTCTTCCCGAAGTCGCGCCACTGTCCCCTGCCCTTGTTGAGCTCGGCTCTGCCGCCGCAGGCGGGGCGCTCTGCTGCCGCTGCTTCTTCGCTGGAGTTTCCAGCGTGAGGTCCTTGAGCTGTGTCGACAGCGCCGCAGCGTTCTGCCGCGCTCGCTCTTTCAGGTGCCATCGCATGCGCCGGTTGTGGATAGGAGTCATGAGGTGACCCCCGTCTATCCAGGCGTTGCACAACAGGCACTTGAGGCCGTCCGGCGTCGACCATTCGCCGCTGTAGGTGTGCGCCACCTCAGCGGCCTCGTCTGCAGGCTCTATAGGGCCACATTGGCGGTGGCCTCCTCTGAGCCCGACTCGGAGGTCGACCGCCCGAAGTCTACGTCTGCTTCGAACTCGGGGGCCTCCGGCACTGCTACCTGCCACGTGTCAGCATCGACAATAACCTCTTGCCCGTCCTCGAGAGTCGCGCCCAAGGCGACCGCGGCTGCTGCCACATCTTTGAGGAGTGTCGGCTCCTTAGGGGAGGGTCTCCCTCCTTGGTAGGCCTTAAGGTCTAGGCGGGGGCCTTGCGTCGCCTCCCCTTTGGTGTCCCGAGAAGGGTCGTCTTCTCTGCTTTCCTTTCCCGGGGGCTGACCCTCTTGACTGCTCGAAGACCCCTTGGGAGTTCCCTCGGGTTGGCCGGGGGCGAAACGCCCCTCGGCCTCCCCTTGGGTCTCCTCCCGAAGTCTCTGCTCGGACCCTTGCCAGAGCCCCTTAGAGTGGGCTTCAACCTTCGCGGTCCACGGTGCATAAGAGAGGATAGCGCTCGTCGGAATTGGTTGGCTGGTCAACCAGATTCCGTTGCCCGTGAGCCTGAAGATACAGCCCGCCTGGGCAGCCTTGACGGCGTCCACTGTCACTGCGACTTCGAGGTCGGATCGCCACCTGCCAGACTTGCAGGACGGATCTTGCAGGTGCAAAGCCCTGCGTAGCGGGAGGAGCCCGTTCAGTTGAATCGGGGGTACCTTGGACCGGTATGTGCCGTGGAGAAGGATCGGAGGCGGGGTGGCAATGGCACCAGGGCCGACCACCCCTGACAGGGTATGCCCAGCCCATGCGGCTGCATACCAAGCTCCTTCATCCTCTCCTGGGAGCGGGTCGGCCTGTCTGAGCACGAACCTGGATTTCGAGTTCGTGTGTTCCAAACGCTGCAAGAGCGCCAGGTCGATCTCGAGCTCTGTGGCGGCCGGCTCCTGACGCAGGGCCGACACCAGCGAGGTGACCGGCACCCAGCCCTCCTCGGAGATCAAGTTGCCTCCGTCCGCACCGCGCACTCCTTCGTGACGAAGGATCCTTGTGACGGCATGGTCGATTTGGGCTTCGGCGGGTTTTCCTTTGCCCTTGCCCTTTCCTTTACCCTTCTTGCCTTTACCCCCTTTGGGGGTCTGCTTTCCCTTGTCGCCCTTCCCTTTTCCTTTGGAGGGACCCTTGCTGTCGCCTCCGACGCGGGTTCTCCAAGAGCTGTCGCGCTCTTCCATCCAGGCCATCAGGGCCCGGCGCGTATGCTCTTCCCAAGGAAGGGAACAGACACCGGCTCGGTGACCTAAGGCCTCCTCGGGTCCGGGACTGAAACAGTCCTCGGACCCAAGCGACCTGAGCCAGCGCCCGATGCCTTGGGCGAAGGATGGAGGTGTCGCCTCCAGCAGCTGCTTCGCTGCTTCCTGTGGGTCGAGGCGCGGGAGCAACTCCCGACGGCCGCCCAAGAGACTACAAGCTTCTTCAGGCAGCAAGGTCCTAACCCCTACACCCTGGGGGTTTGAGCCTAAAAGCAACAGGGGCTGGGGGCTAGAGGGGTCCCAAGAACCGTCGTGCAAGGCAGGGAGAGGCTTGGTGGGGTCCCAAACGAGGCTTTCCCCTAACCTACCTGAGGGCTTAGGGGTAGCGTTCCTAAGGTAGGGAAGCGAGGAGTCCAGCTTCAGGGGTCCAGGCTTCCAGGTTTCGGGTGGGGCTTTAGAGTCGGGGGCTCTCCACTCAAGGTTGTAGCGGGCCAACGGGAGCGTAACAGGCTCCTCGTCGGGGCTAAGTTTGGGAGGGTGCTTACGGGACCCGTCCTTTCTGACGGCAACCAAAGCCCACCTCCTCCACCAAACCTGATCCCCGAACGACCTCCCGCTAAACAAATCCAGCTGAGAAAACCAACCATCCCCAAGCCCTTTCCTCAAGCTTTTCAACCCTGTACTCTGAAGGGAATCAACCACAATGCACTCAGGATCAAAGCGGAGGACGTCAGCAAGGGGAACCTGGGAACCACCTCTACCTAAGGACCAACAAAGCACATCGGGTTTTCCTGCTGGCGCCGTCGGCGCGGTGGGTCCCGACCACTCCGTCCCTAGGCGCTGCTGATGGGTGCACACAGCCCCTTCTTTAGTGAGCTCGCGGGTGTAAACCGGCGGGCCGAGGGCCATCTCGTGGATTCTCAAAGGAAGGGGACCCGTCACAGAAGTGGGGGGCCCAGGAGGGGAGCGCCTGAGGCAGAGCTGAAGGGCGATGCCCCGGTCATCATCTTCCATAGTCGCCCACAGCAGGGCGCGGTTCGCCCAGGAGCGGTCGAGAAGCTCAACCATGGTGCCTCTACCCTCTATCCGCTTGAGATTGTTCTCACGGAGCACGTCCGGAACGTTCTTACGAGTCAGATCGTCCGCCACCACATTGTGGTAGGTCCTGATGTATTCAGCGTAAAGCCGAAAATGTCCCACTGCTTCCGCCGCGCCCAGGATCTGAAGGAGGAAGCGGGCCGCAGGTGGGCTGGCTTCTCGCGCGGCGATCCAACGGACAACGTTCTGGTTGTCTCCCGCGTAAACTACTACCTTCCCAGACCAGGCCCGCCAACGGGCGGCGACCAAACAAAGGACCGCCAGCAACTCAGCCAGCGAGATCATCACATCTTCCTCGCCTTCTTCTGACGCGGGGCCGGGAGAGAAACTCCCCTCGTCCCCTTCCTGCGAAGAGGAGCCTGTGGCACGCCCGGGGCCGAAGCGGCCCTCGGACTTCTCCAAATCTTCTCTCTCGAGGTAGGATGAAGAGAGGAACTCCCGCAGAGCTGCCCAGAGGTCTTTGACGGGCTCCACAACAGCGACCCTGGCCTCCCAGTCGATGGCCCCCACCACCTGTGTGGTAGCGTCCCCCGAGGCCCAAACAACCTGATCCTGCAAGCCCGGGAAAGACAGATACTCCGGAAGGGTCAGAGCCCCGAGGAGGGAGTGCGAGAACCGCGCTTCCCAGGTTCCCTGAGAGTCAACCAAGACCCGCTGTAGCTCTATCGCTTCCCAGAATCGCTGCCAGGTGGCTTCGGTGTCAGGCCCCTTGGGGCGAGCATTTCCCGCGTCGTCGGGCGGCCCTAACAAATCGTTGGTGGCCCCTAAATAAGGTGCCAGACTGGGGAAGACAGCCAGCCAAAACTGTTGATTCCCCCGCAATTCCTGGACCAGGCGCAACGGAACGACGCGATTTCCATGGTCGAATTGGGGTAGATGGAGGAGGTGGTACGCTTTTTCAATCTTAACGATTGGCAAACTGACCGTTCCACGCCCGGTGTCGTACGTCAATCCCCAAATGAGCTTCCTCGTCTCCAACGCCCCTTCGACAGCGTCCTTTTCCGGGTTAATGGCCCGCGGGCCAAGAGCGGCGCGGGTCATTTGCTCCGCGACCTCGACTGAAACCCAAGGTCGAAGCCCGATGTCCGGTTCCACCAGGACAGTATCGTCCATCAAGACAAAGGAGTGAAAGGCAACGTCGGAGGCCTCCCACCGCCCATTGGAGGGACCGTGCGCCTCATGGCCTGCCTTGAGCACCCAAGCAAATCCCATGTATTCGCCTGGTGCGCCTCTCCATCCAAAGGTCATGTACCCGTAGAGGAGTGTAGCGTCATGGTCGGCCTCAACGTAACTAGCGGCAAAGAACTTCGTGTCTTCCAGAGCGACTGGGAGCCACTTGAAGGCGTCCGAGACGTCCTTTTTACTCAGAAGAATCGGGACGCCGGGGAACTTGAGCCCCCAGTAGAGGATAACCCTGGCAACCTCTCTGTGTTTAGGTTGCAAGGCTGGCGGAAAATCCTCCTTGGAGCAGAACCGATTCACCGGGGTAGCGTCCCACACGACCCTGCCTTTGTCTGAAACCGTTCTGTCAGGGTTCATTTTAGGCACTCTCGCCATGGGGACAGAGATAACCCCATCGAGACCTTCCCCTTGGTCGTAGCACACCAGGACCCGGCCCCTGACAACGTCCTTCCACAGCTGAGCGGCCGCCTCGTCCATATGCGCCTTGAGGCTGGGGTGGGGTGCGCACTTGAGTCTCGAAGATTCCTTCAGGGGCACGTGCGCCTCCACTCCCCACACTGCCACGTGTCTTGCTCTCTCGAGGAGGGGAGGAGGCACCAAGCCATCAAGCGTGGGTCCGTGTAACCCGTCGAAATGATCCCCGTGGCGCTGGATGTATGTTCTCTTAATGGCTCTCATTGCTTCTTGCCAGCCGCCGGCCGCTCGAAGGAGCAGCGACCCCGCCGCTGCTACACTTCGGAGTCCTTCCTTGGAGAACTGAGCAGCCTCCTCGACCGCGTCAAGGTAGGCCGCCGCGGCGGACCTGACCGCGTCGGCAAGTGGGGGGGCCAGCGGCCCCTTACGGAGGGGTGTCGGGAGGTCTCCGGGGCCGAAGCAGCCCTCGGGTTCCTCTTTTGCCCTACCGACCCTCGCCTCGTCTACTACAGGACCGTTATCGGCCACTTTGCGACCGCGGAGCTCTCCCCCCCCCCCCCTTGAAACAAGGCAGAAACGGCGGTGCTCAAAGTCCCGCCCGTCCGCAAGGACTCCGCGGCAGCGGAGGCCGTAGTAGCTACCAGTAGCGGAGCCCGCCCCGGCGAAGCCAGTGGCAAGCGAACACGCGGACAGCCCTGAAGCGCCGTGAGGATCGACTCATGGCGCCAGCCCGCGCCCGTAAGAGGATGAAGGAAGAGCACGTCTCCAGCCCGAGATCGTTGTTCCTGCAGCAGAAGGGCGACGAAAGAAAGAAGAGAGGAGGAAAGGCCCGAGCAGCCAGGCTGCAGACGATAGCCGGCCGTGAGCTCCGGTGACAAGACAGACACCACCAAAAGGGGAGGCTGATGGGCGCGGAGCGTAGCGAGAAGACCCTGCCGCACAACAGCCGCCGCAAGGTCTTGCCCTGCGGCAAGACCAATAGTGCCCCACGAGGCGTCGGGGGGAACAGAGGCGGCCAGCGCCGAAGGGGTCCCCAGAGCAAGCTCCAGAACCGACCAAGGGGCCTGACCGCGCCCCAACGGCACGACAGGCAGCGGGTCGACAGCCGGCCCTGAGGGAGGAGAGCTTTCCCAACAAACGGATCCAGCTCTTTCGGTCGGCACCACAACAGGGTAAAGGCCCAGGACGCTGGTAGACACACCAGTACGCCGCAGCTCCTCCGCATCGCAACGGGGGCACTTAGCCGGAGGGACCAGCTCTGCGCCAGCAACTGACGCTGCTTCAAGGTGCACATCCCACCCGTGCATAGTGATGCTACGAGCAGGAGCCGGCATGGCATCTGAAGTGGGGACCAAAAGTCGCATATGACCCTCATGGACCAGAAGCCAGACCAAAGGAGGGGAGTTGAGTGGCGCGGAGGCGCCGGCCAAACGCTCAACAGTGGGACGCTTCCATGAATCCAGTCGCACAACCTGTATGGCCAAGTGAGAAGCTGCACTGGGCGGGAAGGCGGCAAGACACCGATAGTCCTTGTCGTGACCGTGATACAGGAGATCATGGATGAAGACCCGAAGGTCCCGCTCGGCTCGTGTCATGCTGCCGGGCTCGAAAGACAAAGCCTCGGCTGCCTGACAAGCGAGGCCATGGAGCTCCACCCGCAAGGGCGCAGCAGCCGCTCGCACCTCCGACCAGGAGGGGGAAACGTGGGCTTGGGCCCACAAGCAAGCAGCGGCCACGTGCAACAGTAGGCACTGGCGCGGCTCACAGTCCGGGTGTGGCTCGTCGCGAGGCTCCAAAATACCTTCCAGCTCCGCGGGGACGGCCAGAGTGTCCCCGTAGTCCAGAACGTCCCAAGCATAAGGTCCCCAGGAAAGCTGGGCAGACCCAGGGGCATCGCTGGATGCAACCCAAGAGGTGCGGGTAAGAGTGGCCCGCGTGGCTTGTGAGTCGCCTACCTTGGCAAGGAAAGCCTCCGCTTCGACAGCGAGCTCCGGGGCGCCCTTGAGCACGGCGTCGTCTAGCGCTTGCTGCACATGCTGGGGACCAGGTGGCCCTTGGATATGCAGCAACCGGTTGCGCAAATAGCAGGCCAGCGTAGGCGGGACGTCCGGGACCAAGCCGGAAGACTCCACGCTAGCCATGTCGGCCTCCCGCTTTCGAGTAGCTTCGGTGCTCTGCTGGAGAGAGACGGTTCGAAGCGGTGGAGAGGAGTGGTTGGCCGTCCAGTCCAAAGCACTGCCGGCCATGGCTTCTGCGAGGCCCGACTCTAGGTCTGTAGCAAAGAAGTTGCCGAGCTCAGGAGGGTTGGGCCCATCCGGCTCGGGTGTCACTGGGCTCAGCCGTGGAGTTGGCAGCGCCGACCTTAGCTGCTGCGGCGGCGGCCTTGGCTTTGGCCTTTGCGGCCTTTCCTTCCGCGACAGCAGCAGATACTTTGTCGGCTTGAGCCTTGCGCAGGGCGGCCACCGCTTTATCAACGTCGGCTGCACCAGACATCTTTGGCTGGCCAAGGTGGCCACCCCGCCGGAGAAGCTGCATCTGGACGCTGAAATCAAGAGAATTCCACCCGGGAATGGGCTTCTCGTGCGAGTGTGAACAAGACTGGGCATGGCACCCTCGGCGCGACATGGCGTCCCAACAGAAATACTTGCCGGTGCGCTGACACTTCGGCCTGTGGTCCATAGATCTCTGCACCTCCTTGTTGCTCAGAGGTTTGCCGAGGAGCGCGGGCGCGGACGTGTTTGCCCCGACCTTGGGGCCCGGGACCGTATCGGTCCTCTGGCCCGTGTCGCCCTGCTCTCCGGCGCGTCCCCCGGCGAGGCCCGCTTGTGGCCCTTTGAGGGCGAGCTGCCAGCAGGTTCTTTCCAAGATCCGACGCTGCCGGGGCAGAACATCGGTCTGGAAATATTCGAGAGGGTCTTCCAATTCGAAGGTCTGCGGGAGACGCAACCAGGGATTCCCGTCTACACCGGGTGCGGTGCAGAAGAATTTTAACCTCTCAAAGGAGGGAGCCTCCTCTCCCATCTCTCGGCGAACTTTGCGTTCGATGTCCCGAACTTCTTCCATGAACCGACTCCAGAGCTCATCCCACGTAGAAATGATGAGATGGAGCGGCCATGCATGGGCAGTCTCCTCTGCCATCCGCAGGAGACTGCTAGCGGCTCGCTCCCATCCTCCATAATGTTGTACCCCGAAGATACAGGCGAGGGCCCAGCATTGACGGAGGGCGTTTCTGTACCACAAGGTCAAAGTGGCCGGAGCTCTAGGCTTTTTCTCCAGCTTGATATCGCCAGGGACAGAGTAGCTGTCGAACTCGGCTTCGGAAGTCGCGGGGAAATCTCCCGTGGTGAGAGAATATTCCGGAATGTTTCCTTTGCCGCCCACGCAAAGACCACTGACCCCAAAAGCGAACCTGTTGGTAATGTTAATGGGGAATTTAAGACTTCTCAGCAACGGGCGGTCCTGGGTAGCGGTGTTCCGAAGGGCGTGGAAAAGTTCCTTGCCCACGGTTGCTTCCCCTAGGGGGACCGTGAGAGAGTCGCAGCCTCGAACCAAATACAAGCATCTCTCTTCTACCTTCCCAATGGAGGAGAGCTTTCCCCGCTCTTGCGAAGCGGCTTCATCTTTGGAGGTAACCGCTTTGGCAATGGCCTGCAACGCCTTGGTTGCTTCGTCTGCAAAGGCCGGTGGAGGAGCGGTGTACGCACCAGCTCGGTACCAATCGGGTGGACGGACGGCGGTCGAAGCGGGTGAAGCCTGCTTGCGCCTCATCAAGCCCTGCACCAAATCCCCTTCAACTCCCATTGCATTGTCAGGCGTTCCCGCTCCTGGGACGGGTCCCAGGGGAAACGGGCCGCCGTACCGTGCGGCGGGAAGGGCAGGGGTTTGGAGGAAGGCCGGGGCTAAAGAGGAAGAGCTGCCAGGTCCGGGCGGGGTTGCCCTGGAAAAATCCGTGAACGCCACGGTCCTCGGGACTTCATCTCCTGGGTCTCTTGGTCCTGCGGGGTCAGGTTCCGGGGGTGAAACACCCCACGGAACATTCCCTTTACCGTCGGAACTGTACGCGTTGTGAGGCATCTGAAGCAGCTGCTTCATGTCCGGTGTTCGATCCGGTAAAGCCTGAGAGTCGCCGCAAATCAGCCGTAAGACTTGCAGCACATCCGGGTTGCTGCCCGGCTGAGAGCCGTCCAGACACCTTCTAGCTTCGACCCTGAGGTCTTCGAGGGTTTGGAGGGCTCGACTCCCAGTGAGAGGGACAGCTGAGTGGTCTCGATAAGCACCATCGAGGGCCTCATCCAGAGTCTCTCCTGACACCATCCTCTGGACAACTCCCGGGAGGAGTTGGGAGGCATTAGGCAGAAGAATCGAGGGCGGGGCAGGCCCGCTATCACTTTCCTGGGGAAGTTGAACCCCGGAAGTTACGGAAGGATCCACTGGCTTAGGCTCAGGCGAAGTCTTAGGCTTCCGCTCCTCCTTGGCTCCATGGAGCCTGCAGAGCTTGACTCCACCCTTGGTGTGGTATGGCGTTTGCAGGCACCCCTCTACTGAGCAGGTTCTTCCTTTCAGGGACGCTTGATAGATGGCCCGGTGATAGTCGCAAAGGGCGACCGCGTGAGTGCCATCTATGAGCTTCTTGAGGCCTTCCTGGCAACTGACAATCTCATCTGCCTTCAGGAGGGGCTCTGGCTGATGTCGGGCTAAGTCCCTACAGGGTTCCGTCGCCAAGGGCTTGGCATTGGGAGTACCGAGGTCCATGCCCACCTGATCAGCCTGACATGTGTTTCCTTCCTCTGCTTCGGACTCGGTCTCTGAGCCTTCATGCCTGGGGCCTGCTCCCTCGGCGCCTGGGCGCGAACCGCGCCTCGGGCTCCTTCGGCAGCAGATGCCACAAAGAGTTCCGCAGATCAACTTACCTAAACGCCTTGTGGTTTGCCGGAAGCAAGAGCACCACAAAAGCCCAAAGAACCAAGTAAGAATGGCGCACCGGGCCCAAGGTCCCCTGCCGGCCAAATCCTGAAGGTCCAGCTCCTGGACTTGTGGTACCACCGCGCTGGTGCCCACGTGAATTGCCGGTTCTCCTTCCGCGGTACATGGCTGATGGGCGCACAGGTGGATCCGACACTCTGAGGCTTCGATAAGGTTCCGGAAGTACCGGTGGGATGAGGCCTTAACCTCATCGCACGCGCAAATGAAGCCGTGCCGGTTGGTCCGGCCCCGTACGGTCCCGTGGCGGAGTCTGGCAATCGCTGTACCATCCGTAATCAGGAGATCGTGCGGTAGACGATTGAGGCCCCTGCCTCTAACCTCTGATTGCACGTATGCAACGGACCACGGTTCTCCAGCACATGGACCTTTCCAGTTAGGCCTGAATGGCCTTTCTCCCAAAAGTCGCGAGACCTCACTCCAGGGCGCGTCTCCCCGGAAGTACCGGACCAATGCTCTAGAGTGCACAACGATTGGGAAGACAACCCAGGTGTACGTCCAGACACCCAGCTGCAGCAGGAATACCCCAACTATTCCGACCATGAGCCAGTACGTCCAGCGAACCGCAAATAAGATTGATGAGCATAACGGGCCACAATATTGCTGTGCATACACCTTGCAGAGGTCCCATATCGGAAGGACTCTCTGGACCATAAGGTCCCAGAGAAACGCTTTCCAGCTTTCCCAACCGCTAGGTTCCTCCGGTGTAGAAGTGGTACCGATAAGCTCTGGTTCCTCGGCCTCCATCCATGCTCCCACGAAGGGTAGCCAGGACAGGTCCGGGACCGAAATCAGTCCTCGGACCCCCCAAAGGTCAGGGACTTCACTCGGTTCCTCTATCGCCGGGAACGGGGTTGTGGTGGTAGTGGAATTAAAAGACTTCTCCAGCGTACTGGCCGTAAGCAAGGCAGCGCCTGCTATGGCCCTCGCGGGAACCCACACCATCACGCTTTGCGGAGCCCCGGGCTACCTAAAAAACTAAGCTACCTTGAGCCTAAACGTGCGGTGAGACAGAGGTGAAACCCTACGCACACTACGCTGTACTAACCGATACTGGGTGCAAGACGAATCTTGATGCACGCACCATCAGAACCTTCATCAATCATACGAAGCTTGCGTTTCCGCGGCGGGTCAGTCTTCAACATGTTGGTGTGTTCTGCAGCGGACTGGTTCAACTTTGGGACATGAACTGATCGACCAGGGGACATTGACGTAGACTGTCGGCCAAGGAACGATGACGCATTCGAACTCTCATGATCAAGGGCAAAATCAGCCGAATCAGGATCGCTGACCAAGGTAACACCTGATGCCAAATCTGCACGTCGATCGTGTTCTTGGTCCGACACTGCAAAGTCTGACGAAAAGTCGGACGAGTGTACGTCCGATACAGAGGCAGCATCGCTCTCAAAACTGGACACCGACATAATTGGAAGCTACCTGTACGTTCCAAGTCTTTTTAGAACTGCAGAGTGCCTTGAGGACATGAATCAAAACAGTGTCTGCAAACATTCACAACACATGGTGCCGGCAAATCGCTTGTATAACCCTTGCACATCACTTGCACATCACTTGCACGTCTCTTGCACATCCCTTGCAATACACTTGCAGTAACACTGGCGCACAAAGTCTTCTTTGCAAGTGCTCACGTTTCACTCAAAGACTTCAATCACTGCTGGGAGTGTTGGGGGCAACTCTGAGGATTCTTGCAGCTGGAGAGAGTTAACACAATGGGAAGTCACAGATTGAATGGAATGCAAATCCGTCAGCAGGTTGCCCACCACTTCGTTGGTCTTCTGAAGTTTCTGAAACAGTTCTGTGATGGCAGACATGACTTCTGCCATCTGCGACTCAGTGTCCCTGATTTGTGTGGTGAGCACGTCGAGTTGGGACTGTTGGATCTTTTGGACGGAGATAGCTTCTTCCCGAAAGTGACGAAATTCACCTCTGATTGTGATCAGCTCTTGTTGTGTGTAGGAAATCCAGCGCTGAAGAGGTGCCAACGGATCACACGCTGAGTTGCTCGACATTGGTGCAATGGGGCGAAACTTGAGCAGGATGCTGCAAAACTGTTCTGGTATGCATTACAACATGAATGAAGTGATACTCACAGCACTTGCATCGGATGCATGTTCTTTCCTCACTGCAGAACTCACATGTGCCACAGATACACGCAAAGGTGTCGAACTCCTGTCACTCCGGACATACTTAGCTGAGATCAGACGATTGACTGCGTCGAAATCGGCGTGATTCACGCCTTCTGGTAGGCATGGGTTTAGATCTGATTGGTGTACCTGACGTAGCTGAAGATGTAGGAGCAGCCGACGACGAAGCGGTACTCGACACCAAAGGAGTGCCGGGGGGGGAAGGACGGGTGCAAAGGCCCTGGGTGGGGGGAAATTGGGAGGGGGAAGAGGAGGAGGGAGGGGAGGGGGAGGGAGAGGGGGAGGGCCAGGGGGAGGCAGGGGAGGAGGTGAGGCGCTGGAAGACGGGTTGTCAATCACTGCAATCGGCACACTCCTCATTGCTGGCGAGGGGGGTGGAGGGGCATAGGGATGGGATCTGCAATTGCCACTGGACGAACGTGATCCTGAAGCTCCACTACTACTGGGACGTTCCTCACGTAGATTTGCTCTATCCCTCTCATCCAAACGACGTAACTCTTGCTGCAGCATTCTTTCTGTACCTTCACGCACAAATGCTGTCAATTGAAGTACAAGTGCTTGTCGAAGTTGAGGTCGTGATACAAAGTTGAGCAATCTCACATGCGCTGAATGAGTGAGCATTCTCAAAAACTCATCGATGCTGGGATCCGAAGGTGGCACCGACGACATGCTTGCTTTCAAGGATGTTCTCGTCTCTTAGCCAAAAACACTGCAACGCCGACAGCTGCAAGTCTCTCAAGTAAAAACTCAAATGAAAACATGCTGCGTGTGTGTCCGCTGTCAACTATCAACTGACTACCTCAGACACACTTTTACCGCTTCAACAAAGCTTCACACAGGTGAAATGAGTATCCAAGATTCGCTAACCACCGTACAAAAGTGTGGACAGCTACTTCCGCTTGACACGTTGGCCAAGTGTACTTGCGAATAAGAGAAATTCTCGACTTCGCGCCTGACACCAACAATCGATCGCTACCTGCACTCATGGGATGTCGAACTTGCCAAAGGAACTTGGGCTGGAGATAGTAAACAGTTCGGTTTCGGACATCGATGTCAAATCCCAAAAAGTGACCATCACCGACAGCTTCAAGTACAATCGGAGAGCCATAAAAGGTCTCTTGGCTGAAGACTTGAAAAGGCACTGTTTTATGCACTTCGCTGGGTGCAATCACCAGTCTGTTGTCCACATATCTTGCGAGAAAAGTGGAAGGGAAACTCGAGATCTGGGGGAACATTGCTGCCCAACCGAGCTCAGTCATCACCACCGGAAGGGAAGAGAGGACAGGACTGATTTGATTACCAATTGACGTGCCATCAACTTATTTCCACACTCTGTTCAGCGCCACGAACAAGCCGCATTCAAAGCTGAGGCGAACAATGGTGACCAAGTCGTGAGGATCAATGGTCTTCCAATCGAAGTGCCGACGAATATTGGAAATCCTCCCATGAATGGAACGAAAATGTTTGCTCTTCTCATTGATGCAAACCGACAATTTAACATCAGGGTGTCTGACAGTGAACATACGAACCAGCATCTCCACTGCTTCCAGAATACGACTTTGGGGTACCGAGTTAAAGAACCCGACAAGATCGTCATTGAGCAGTTCAAGTTGAGTATCCAACGAACAATGCTTAAACACCTGATGAATGTGGTGCCAAATCTGTGGGACACTGCGTGACAGTGAACCAGGCCAGACTGTGTTGACCATTTGGTCAATGCAGATCGCTGCGGCTCTAAGAATAGGGCCCAAGGCTGTATTCTTGTAGCTGATGATGGTTCGTCCTGATTTGAAGGACTTTTTGCGTTTGAGAAAGATCTGCCCCACAGGCAAATTAGCATCCAACTTGAATCCCCAAGGGTACTTGCGAACCAGTGTAGACGGAATATGCGCACCCAGAAACAGCTTTGCTGACGACACGGACATCGGCATGGGTCTGAACACCTTGACATCTGACCATACACGTTGGCAGGATTGGAAGTAGAATCTAGGGCAAAAGACCATAAGATGCGTTGATTCGTGATCAGCGAGGTGAATCACCCAATCTGCACATACAATATCTTTCAGCTGCAGCGCATGACCTTCCTGGAATTTCGGGCGTAGGCACATATGACGAAGCTGGAGGTGCCACTCATCATGAATGAACTGCTGCCACATGGGGAGAGTATGCAATGGAATAAAATGTGTCTTGCACCAAACCTTGTACACGGAGGTCGCCTCCTTCATGTACTTGACTTTTGATGGAAAGACAAGGGATTTAGAGTTGGCCTGAGCAAGTTCTCTGAGAACCGGTTGGCGAAATGACAACGTCTCAAGGCCAGTAGCCCCATGTCCATCCACCAAGTCCACATTGGGGTGCTGCTGCTGATACTGTTGGCATCTGCATGGAAGTTGATCAACTGTTGTCTCAGCAAGCTTCTTCTCCCACTCAAAGTGATTGTGAAGAATAGAGCCCAGTGATTGGGGAGCAGACTCTCTAGGCGTCTTGGAGGGAAGGTGAAACGGGATGCAAATGCCTTTGAATTGCTGAATGGTATGAGACAAAAACGAGGAGACATGGGAAGCAAAAGAAGGATGAGACAGAAACGGCAAAGTGACGGACTTGTTGTGCCTGGGTACGGAGCAGTTACGAAACTGTAACGCAGATTTGAGCAACTGCACCACCCTAGATCTGAAAGGTTGCTCCATGATCTTGGCCATCCTGAACATCGCGTACAACTCTAGCGTTGAGACTTTAGCAGACCTGACAATTTTGCAGCAGAGAAAGATGCCGAGGTCAGCGACGCCAAGTCGTACAGAAGTGACCATGCTTGGCTTTTGTCCATCAAACATCGAGTCGGAGTACTTGTTGAAGCAGGACGTCTTCGAACTTTTGCCCAAAGTCTGGAAAACAGTGATACATTCTTAAGGGAGGGACGTGGCCTGAGTCTCTTGAATCCCAACGCTGACTTTATAAAGAAGAGGTCAATAAACGGTGAATTGAATCTGGGCTGCCATCGATCAATGAGTACATGCTCTTGCACCCAAGCTTGTTTGTAGTCATCATGAACTGAAAGACAAAGTGTAGAGAAGTCGAAATAACTGCCAAGCGAAGCCCAAATGCGAATGGCAGGTTCAACTTGAACATATTGCTCACGGAGAACTTGCTTGAGTTTGGACTGACGGTTGAATTCACGCTTCGAAATAGTGATTGAGGTACTTCCCACATACATCCATCGGTCTCGTTGCTTGAACGATGAACGGGTACTCCAAGACACGGGAGCTTTCAAATAAACTGCAAAAGGACGCTGAAACCGTGTGAATGTATACTCAGACGGTGTAACTCCAGCTTTCTGCAATTTTTCAAGCAGCCGTTGCTCTGGCGAAGTACCCCTGGAGTAATAGAACAGTAGAATCAGATGACAAAAACCTTGCAACCAAATGGCCATCACTTTGTCCACATGCGGAATAAATTGAAGCACAAACGACATGAACTTGCCAATCTCTGTAATATGAACATGTGCTGACCGAATCTCCTTTGCGGAGAATTCATTGGAAGCAAGGCTGTGTGCAATTCAGACAACTTGAAATGCTGCCGCTGCGATGCACGTAGAAAGACTCTTGATACCCATCCTAGATGCAAAGGTCGCCGAGATCCCGAATTTGACTGCAAGTTCTTGCAGTTTGGCTTTTTCCTTGCCTCCATAGTTGATCTGCACAAGCTTGGAGACGGAAACAATATGTTCTTGAAATTCTGCAAAGCGCTTGCCTAGGGGTCGTTTGAAACTCTGGATCCACTTGTCAA